TCCTTTTCCTGATATTTGCAGCTTCTCTCCTCCCATGCTGTACTCTGTGTCCAGTCTGTCCTCTCCTCCTCTAAAGCACATGACCATATATTTGTATGGGTTGAACTTGAAAAGCCACTTGTGTGGCTATTTCTACTGTCTGTTGAGGTCTCTCTGGAGTTGATCACTGTCCTCTCCTGTTCCTATTCTTTTCATTAGTTTTTACATCATTAACAAACAGTGAAACATGGAACTTAATCCCAGAGGAGGACTCTGCCTGTTCTTCTAACTTCTGGACTAATCTCTGGTGTACTGTATCAAATGCTTTTCTACAGCTCAAGAAAATTCATTCTACCCAACCCTGATTGTCAGTAAAGAAACATCTCTCAGTGTTCCAGGATCATTTTCCACACTATTTTCTCCAAAACTTTTGACATTATGTGTGTTAGAGATACCAGCTTGTAATTCAAGGTCTCTTGCTGTCCTTTTTTTACATATAGGAATGACATTTTTGTAGGTAGTAGGTTGGTAGACAGCAACCGCCCAGGGAGGTACTACCGTCCTGCCAAGTGAGTGTAAAACGAAAGCCTGTAATTGTTTTACATGATGGTAGGATTGCTGGTGTCTTTTGTCTGTCTCATAAATATGCAAGATTACAGGTAAATCTTGCTACTTCTACTTACACTTTGGCCACACTACACATACGTGTGCAAGCATATATACACACCCCTCTGGGTTTTCTTCAATTTTCTTTATAATTCTTGTTCTTGTTTATTTCCTCTTATCTCCATGGGGGAAATGGAACAGAATTCTACCTCTGTAAGCCATGCGTGTCGTAAGAGGCGACTAAAATGCCAGGAGCAAGGGGCTAGCAACAGCTTCTCCTGTATATATTATTAAATTTAAAAGGAGAAGGTTTAGTTTTTTCTTTTGGGCCACCCCACCTCAGTGGGATGCGGCTGGTATGTTGAAAGAAGAAGGAATGACATTTTCTCTTTTATAATTTTTTTGTAGTTGTCCTGACTGGAGAGACTATTTAAATGCCTTTGCTATTGGGTCACATAGTTATTTTGCTTCTCTCAGCAACCATGAAGATATATTATTTGTTCCCATTGCTTTTGTTACATCAATTCTTGTAAGAATGTCATCACTTCTTTTATTGTACTGATACTCTCCAGTACCTGTTTGTCTCTTCTGTGAATAGTTCTTTGAGTCTTCTGCTAGGCACTTTATATACTTTTCTGTTAGTGCCCTTTCCTCCTTCCTCAGCTTTATCGCATGCCCCTTTAAAGTCGTTTTTTTTCTCATTTGGTTGTGGAGTAACTTTGGTTCTGTTTTGGCCTTAGATGCAAAATTATTCTCACATAGTCTTTCAGCCTCCCTTCTTATTCTTGCATATTCATTTCTTGCTTGCCTCTTGGTTTTCTGCATTTTTATTTTTTCCAAGCCCTCCTACTAGTACCTTCCCATGGCCTCTGCATTCTTAGCTAAACCCTTATGGGCTTTGTTTTTCCTGCTTCTTTTCTTTATGCTTGGAATAAGTCGCACTTTAACTCTATCATTTCTTGCACAGTTCTACTTTCCAGTTAACTTTCCCATTCCACTTCTCTCAGAAAAATTCTCATGCCATCGTAGTCCCATTTTCTGTTACTTGCTTCTTCCATTTCCCCTTTTCACCATCTCACACACTGAGGGGTCTGGGATTGATCCTCAGCATGGGCGGCACATTGGGCATGTTTCCTTGCATCTTCTGTTGCCTCTGTTCACTTCTCAGTAAGTAGGTACCTGGGTGTTAGCCGACTGTTGTCACATCCTGGGGCACAAGATTAACCTAAGTTGACTAAAATGCTCTTCTTAACTAGTAGCTTCCTGTATAGTATGCCAGTGATGTCAGCTGGTTTGTATCAGTTGTAAAAATAATTATTATTAGTAGTATTATTTTTTTTTTTATTAACACATCGGCCGTCTCCCACAGAGGCAGGGTGGCCCGAAAAGAAAAGCTTTCACCATCATTCACTCCATCACTGTCTTGCTTACACTACAATTATAAAACTGCAACATTAACAACCCTTCCATCTCAAGGACTCAAGTCCGGCCTGCCGGTTACCTTGAATCCCTTCATAAATGTTACCCGGCTCACACTCCGACAGCAGATTAAGTCCTAAAAACTATTTGCCTCCATTTGCTCCTATCTAACACACTCACGCATGCTTGCCGGAAGTCCAAGCCCCTCACACACAAAACCTCCTTTACCCCCTCCCTCCAACCTTTCCTAGGGTGACCCCTACACCACTTTCCCTCCACTACAGATTTATCCACTCTCAAAGTCATTCTATTTTGTTCTAGCCTCTCTACATTTCCGAACCACTTCAACTACCCCTCCTCAGCCCTCTGGATAATTTTAGTAATCCTGCACCTCCTAATTTTCACACTATGAATTCTCTGCATAATAACCAAACCACACATTGCCCTCAGACATGATATCTCCACTGCCTCCAGCCTTCTCCTTGTTGCAACATTCACTACCCATATAAGAGCATTGGTATAATTATACTCTCATACATTCCCTTCTTTGCTTCCATGGACAAAGTTCTTTATCTCCACAGACACCTAAGTGCACCACTCACCCTTTTCCCCTCATCAATTCTATGATTCACATTATCTGTCATAGACCCATCTGCTGACATGTCCACTCCTAAATATCTGAATACATTCACCTCCTCCATACTCTCTCCCTTCAATTTGATATCCATTCTTTCATCGCCTATTTTTTTTGTTATCCTCATCACCTTACTCTTTCCTGTATTCACCTTTAATTTCCTTCTTTTACATACCCTTCCAAACTAATCCACCAACCTCTGCAACTTCTGTTTAGAATCTCCCAAAAGCACAGTGTCATCAGCAAAGAGCAACTGTGACAACTCCCACTTTGTGTTAGATCCTTTATCTTTTAATCCCACACTTCTTGCCAACACTCGAGCATTCACCTCTCTTACAACGCCATCTATTAATACAGTGGTACCCCGAGTTTAGTACAGCTCCTAACTCGAACAGCTATGTAAGTGTATTATTGTAAGTGCTATTGTAAGTGTATTTTTGGGGGTCTGAAATGGACTAATCTAATTTACATTATTCCATATGGGCACAAATTCGTTTGGTAATGGCACTGGAATAGCCTTCTGGAACGAATTTTGTATGAAACGCTGGGTACCACTGTATGTTGAACAACTATGGTGACATCACACATCCTTGTCTAAGGCCTACTTTTACTGGGAAATAATCTCCCTCTCTCCTACATACTCTAACCTGAACCTCGCTATCCTCATAAAAACTCATCACTGCTTTCAGTAACCTACCTCCTGTTCCATACATTTGTAACATCTGCCACATTGCCCCCTATCCACCCTGTCATACGCCTTTTCCAAATCCATAAATGCCACACAAACCTCTTTTCCCTTATGTAAATATTGTTCATCTATATGATTTCACTGTAAACACTTGGTCTACACACCTCCTTCCTTTTCTAAAGCCACCTTGTTCGTCTACTATCCTACTCTCTGTCTTACTCTTAACCCTTTCAGGATCCAGAGGCCAAATTTCAAAGTACACACCAGCATCCAAGAATTTTCAAAAAATAATTTTATTTTTTCTTATGAAATGGTAGAGAATCTTTTTCTGAAGGTAATAAAACAAAAAGTACGAAATTTGATGGAAAATTGATGAAATTATGCTCTTGCGAATTTTGATGTGTCAGCAATATTTACGCATCGACGATTTTGCCGACTTTGACTTTCATTTTAGGCCAATTACATTATTCCAGTCGACCAAATTCTTAGCTATTTCACTAGTATTACTTCTATTCTATCGACTGAGCACAAGAAATCACCAACTCAACTGTTTCAACTACAAAATAGTGATTGGAAATTGGTAATTTGACCAATTTAGTGCAAAGTTCAAAATATTCCAGTTTCGAAATAGGGTCCAGATTAAACAATGCAGGCATTCCTGGCACTAAACTAACATTTCCTCTGTTCATTAGTTACATTTTTCAGGCTTTACAATTGAATTCCATTTTGATTTTTAATTCACATAATGAATTTTTATTCAAACCAAAAAATAGAAGATTTACTGTCATGCAATATTGTAATAATTGTATAAATAATATCAGCACATTTGTGAATGTATATTAGACCCACCAGCTGGCATGTATTAGATGTGTGAGGTCATTTGTTTACTCTTGAACATCGGCAAAAATTTAACATTTCCGCTACTTTGAGATCAGTTTCAAGGCATTTTCAGTACTAAAACCAATCAAAATCATCTCTATTTCTGTAATATATCTTCCATTCTATCAAATGATACCAAGAAATCGCAAATACAACTATAAAAAAATAGGAAAAACACTGCAAAGTTGCTGTTTTAATCAAAAATTACGGTCTCAGTTTTTTTTCTCATTATGCACTGTGTGCTGCAGGATTTGTTTTATTTGGTGCACGCATACCACATAGATGTATTCTCTCATATCTAGGCCCAAATTTACCGCTCACAGCTTATCAGAGTGAGCTGAGCTCATGGCGTAGATCTACGGTTTGGACCCTCAATATCAAGCCGTAGATCTACGGCATGGACCCTGAAAGGGTTAATTCTTTCAATAATAACTCTGCCAAACACTTTACCAGGTATACTCAACAGACTTATTACCCTATAATTTTTGCATTCTCTTTTGTCCCCTTTGCCTTTATACAAAGGAACTATGCATGCTCTCTACCAATCCCTAGGTACCTTACCCTCTTCTATACATTTATTAAATAAAAGCACCAACCACTCATAAACTATATTCCCACCTGTTTTTAACATTTTTATCTTTATTCCATCAATCCCAGCTGCCTTACTAGATTTCTTTCTACTCACTGCCTCATGAACTTCCCCCACACTCACAACTGGCTCTTCCTCACTCTTTTTCATTATTATTATTATTATTATTATTCATACTATTATTCTTACATTGTTGAACCTTACAGTGTGCTGTTGGTGGTGGAAGCAGTGTTGGTGAGGTGGCAGAGGTAGTAACCTGGCAGGATAGTGCTGAACAGATGCCTCACACCATACAGGCAATCCGCCGGAGGCTACAAGCCAGACTTGCTCTGCATGCTCAACTTGTCAACTTGGAAACTGCTAATTCAACCAGGTAGGACCTGCTTCTCTCTGATTCATTACTGCAGTGATAACAGGAGAGCAAATTAATACCAATATTTAGGAGCACTGTGGTAGGCCTACTGGCCCAGACTTGTATGGACTTTCTCAAATACTAAATATTTTGTCAGCCATCATGAAAAGTGGTTGGTTGTTAGCCATTGTTAATTCACAGCAAGATGATGATCTTCTGTTAACTTCCACAGCCTCCCACACAGCCAGCCTCCCACACAGCCAGTCTCCCATACAGCCAACCTCCCACACATCCTACCTTCCTCACAACCAACCTCTCACACAGTCATCCTCTCACACAACCAGCTTTCCACACAGTATCTTTTTGGTCTTATTGGTTACTTGTATGCACAATGCCAACAGACTTTATTGTAATGTTTATTTGTTGTGGCTCTATGCCCTGCTGCCCACTACTATGTCATGTTAGGTGTGGCAAGTATCTTAACATGTTGTTGTGTTGCCTTAAGCATGGCACTATACATAGCCTTTCATGATTACTGTTCAGCAGTGAATGAACAATGAATTCACTGAATGTTTTTTTTTTTTCCTTCGAGCCACAAAAGGATCTTAGGTTTGAATATATAATACAGTTAGAGAACCATGTATCAATATCCGTGGTTCATGACTTTTAAACCTGTTACCCCACACATAAATTTATTTGGAGATTAAAGGCAGTGTGGCTTCCATGAGTTACAGTTGGTAGTAATAATGTTGGTAGAATTACCAACAATATGTAAAGTAAAAGGACACAAGTGCAACTGATGTGACATTTTTATTGTGGCAACGTTTTGCTCTCCAGGAGCTTTGTCAAGTCGTTACAAACAATACACGGACACAGAGGGTATATATAGGCTCAGAGTGAGGTGCAATACTAGTGTTAGTAGTAGTAGTAGTGATATAAGTTGTAGTAGTAGTAGTAGTAGTAGTAGTGATATAAGTTGTAGTAGTAGTAGTAGTAGTAGTAGTAGTAGTAGTAGTAATACAATATGGTAGAACAATTAACTTGCACATGAGTAAAAGGATGTAAAAGCTATTACTTGGGTAACAAAAAAATAGGTTAGACATATATTTCTATTGGAGGCTGGATAGAGAAGGCCTGTTTTAATGTTCATTCTCTGTAATGTGCTTGTGTAGTATTAACAGGAGGATTATTGCTAAGACTTCAGAGATGGTGAAGCTGCCTTTATTTTGTTTAATTGTATTAGAAATAGCGATTAATGCTGATTCAAGGCACTTGTGTCTGTGGAAATTAGTTTGTTTGATCACTAATTGGGCGTCCCTGAATTTCATGAGATGATTGGTGGAATTACGGTGTTGTACACAGGTGTTGCCCAAGTTATTGTTCCTACATGCATAAATGTGTTCATTGAGGCGGGTGTCAAGGTTTCTTGCTGTTTCACCTACATAAATTTTGCCGCAGCCTCTTCCAAGAGGAAAAACAACAGAAAATTTTTACAAATATGTAGTCTTGGAGACTGAAAGTTAGTGTACTGAGTGGCTGTAGGAAGGAGATTAAGATGCTTGATGCTGAGATGCTGCGCTGCCCGTTCATGACCCAAGTTCCCATGCAGTATTAAATAACTCGTCAGAGAGCCCGTTGTAATGCTGAGTTGTCAGTAAATGAGTACGTCAGTAAGTGAGAAGAGGCTGTATTACAGAGTACACACTTGTCCAATACATGTCCAACTGGCCAGTCTTATGCACATTTAGGAATGCACTGACATTATTTTTACAATTATTACAATAATGCAGTAGTCTGCATAACATTAAATCTACTTTTTGTGATAAAAATTCAAAATGGAAAGCAAGCGTAATATAGGAGGGGCCTGGAGACATGACTATGGAACAGAGGAAATTTTTTTTTTTGTTTTTTAGTGTCAGAAATACCTGTGTTGTTTATTCTGGGTCCTATTTTTAAATTGGCGATTTTTTAATTTTGTGTGAAATTGGTCAAACTACCGATTTCTGATCACGTTATTAGGTAGTTGAAATAGGTAAATGGACAGTTTCTTGTACTCAGTCGATAGAATAGAAGGAATACCAGCAAAATTGCTATAGTTTGGTCGATTAGAAAAAATGGAATTGGCCAAAAATAGGGTGCAAAGTGGGCAAAATCACCAGTGTGTAAATATCGCACTAAGACCACTAACTTTGCTAGAGTGTAATTCCGTATATAAATAACAACATTCTGTATGTTACTATCACATTTTGTATTTTTGGTTTCAATACCTTTGGACAAAGATTCCCTATCATAAGTTAAAATAATTTTTTTTTTTAAATTCTTCAACCCTGAGAGCAAGTTTGAGATCAGGGGTCTCGGCCTTGAAAGGGTTCATCTGCTATCTGCAGATATCAGAAATATTGCCTCTTCATAACTTTAATGTGTTATCTGCAGATATTAAAAGTGTTGCCAGAACAATGGCAGATGTTTTCAAGAGCAAATTGGAGCACAACTTGCTTCATGTGCCTGATTGTTATGGCTGTGTAGTTCTGCAGGCTGCTAGCAGCAGTCATGTCAAGTCTGTAGAGAGGTCATAGTAAGCATGACTATACAATGAGATCTTGGTATAATGAAGTATAATATAAAGGGAAAGGGAGTGTCCCTTGAACAAAAATCCGTTATTTTGTAATGCCAGATGCTCACACTACTGTTAACAGATAAAATGTCAGTGCAGCAGACATGGTTTCTTGTATGGAGAGCCTGCCAGACATTCACACTACTGTTAATAACAAAATTTTGATGCAGTGGACTTAATCTGTTGGATCAAATGTTTGTTTGGTTGGATGTTTTGTCCATTATTTGAGAAATCTTGTTACATACGAGTCTGTTTTGTTAAAGTTTTACTGTACAGGTACTCCTCAACTTACGAAGGGGTTTTGTTCCAATGAACCCATCGTAAAGTGAAAATATTGTAAGTTGTTTACGAACATGATATAAATAAATAATTACTGTCGCTGAATAAGTGAACAAACAATTTCTGTAACTAAATACCAGTATTGAAAAGTAAATAAATGAATACAAGTTTGTCCTATCAATAAATGTACAGTATTGTACAGTGCTTTACAGTGGTGCTATCATGCCATCGTAAAGTAAATATATAAGTGAAATCATCGTAAAGCAATGAGCATCTGTATAAGTGAAGAGATTGTGATGATTAGGTGTGAGATTGTCTTAATTTGTGCCATGTAACGGTGGCGATGCGTACTGAGGAACACATGAGGCTGGTTGACGAGTGACTGAGAGATGTGCAGTATGGTACAGTACATGACTTATGGTGGTTGTGAGAATGTGGCATTGTGGGGTAATCACTGATGGCATAGACAATGGCATTCATAACAGAAAGGTAGTAGGAGGAAACCTAAGGTAGAATGCATTGGGGAAGTCCTAAACTGGTGCATTAAGAGGTTAAACAAATAAGTTGTATACATTGTGATTCATTAGGAGGTTCCTTGTGGTTCATCAGAACCCACAAACACCAAGTGTATGAAAGATGTTTGATGTCAGAGACTATAAATATGGGCTGTTGGATATATAATATGTGAGGTTGTAGCAGATGATAGAACTGCAAGAAAAATGTACAAAGTGATGCACAGGGTTGTAGGAATTGGCAGGCAATCAACATCTTGGAAAGGTAAGATGGAAGAATATGTATATGTATGTCTCTCAAGAGAAAGAAAGGGCAAGGTACATAATTTTAACTTGCTAGAGATGTTTGTCTTGAGGTTACTTCCTGGGAGTCCCTAAGAGAAATTTATTAAGTGCCGTACTTATAGATATATTATGGTAATGTATATTTTTAAAATAATTAAATATTTCCCTAAACAATGCATTTCTCTGCTGGTTGACCAATAACCTCAATAAATTTGCAATTTTTTTAGTTATATTTGTTAACATTATTCAGTGTATTTTGACATCACTTAGTAATAAAGTTTAACACTGCAGTTCGATTGCAATACCTGCTGAACTGCTGCGTCAACACTTCCCAGGGAAGGTGTGCTCTGAGTTGAAGTCCTGGCGCCCCATCACCTGGGCAGATTACGAGGCAGCCCCATCCACTCGCTCACTTTGTGAAGCTCAGATAGTCTCGCCACAACATTTATTGTTCAAGGCTATATTTGATCGCAAACATGGTAAGTTTTCAATTTGAAGGTAATACATTGTTGTTAAATTAGATAAACAACATGAAGATAAAATAGGAATACTGTCTTAATATCCTGTCTCTCTCTGCATCTTTGTTCTTGGTCCTCTTCCTGCTGGAGGTACTGGCCTCACACAAACCATCTTTGCTCTGGGTCCTTCTCTCCTGGAGGTACTGGCCTCACACAAACCATCTTTGTTTGCTCAGTGCCCTTTTCCTGCTGTAGGTACTGGCATCATACAAACCATCTTTGTTTGCTCTGGGTCCTTTCTCTCCTGGAGATGCTGGCCTCATACAAACCAGGTTTGTTTGCTCTGGGTCCTCTCCCTCCTGGAGGTACTGGCCTCATACAAACTGGGTTTGTTTGCTCTGGGTCCTCTCCCTCCTGGAGGTACTGGCCTCATACAAACCAGGTTTGTTTGTTCTGGGTCCTCTCCCTCCTGGAGGTACTGGCTTCATACAAACCAGGTTTGTTTGCTCTGGGTCCTTTCCATCCTGGAGGTACTGGCCTCGTACAAACCAGGTTTGCTTGCTCTGGGTCCTCTCCCTCCTGGAGGTACTGGCCTCGTACAGACCAGGTTTGTTTGCTCTGGGTCCTCTCCCTCCTGGAGGTACTGGCCTCATACAAACCAGGTTTGTTTGCTCTGGGTCCTCTCCCTCCTGGAGATACTGGCCTAATACAAACCAGGTTTGTTTGCTCTGGGTCCTCTCCCTCCTGGAGGTATTGGCCTTGTACAATCCAGGTTTGTTTGCTCTGGGTCTTCTCCATCCTGAAGGTACTAGTCTCGTACAAACCAGCCAGCTTCATCCATTAACTGCTTTCAAAGAAATTTTAAGACTCTCTACTGAGAACTTAAAATGTTTAGTAAAGAGTTCCACATAATGGTGGAAATGTCATTTTCTTACATTGGCACAGTAGAATGTATATAAAAAACAAAGATTACATCATGATAAATATTGAAAACAAGTTGGAAATATTGAAGAAGGGACAGAAACACACATACATGTGCGCATTGTGCTGTGTTAAAAAAAATTATTATTTTGTACATTTCTTACAGGGAATGGAATTACTTGAGGCTTTTTAGTCAAACTTTGAAATTTGAGAGGTTTACAGTCCAAGGTCTCATATGACCTGACATATGCAATTTTGTGTGTAAAATAAACATGACTCATAAAATCTTAAGATGAATCTCCCACCAGCGTGGCTGTGGCGAACTCTAGCTCAAGTCCCCTCAACACCACCATCGTGACTCATGAAATTGTAATAACATGATTGCAAACAAACCAGTGAACAGGCGGGGATTGAACCCATGGCACGAGTCCTAAAGCTCCAGGCCAGTGTGTAAACCTGTTACATGCTTTTTATTTACTATAAACAGTCATTCCTACAAATTCTTAATCTCCTTTATTCTTTGGTTTTTATGTACCACTTTATTATTGGACAAACAGCAAGGTAGTTCAATTGTCCAATGCTTTTCCGGCAGCTCCGTGGCTTTCCCGTGATATTGGTAAATTAGTGCGATATAAATTGAGTGAATACAAATATGCCAAATACAGTGGTCCCTCAATAATCGTCCGGCCTGAAAATCGTCCATTTCGGAAATATATGTAGTCCCATTATTTCGTCTAAACATTGGCTCGCAAATAGTCCGTTAACTCACTAATTGTCTTTTGTCCGGGACGCATACTCATGGCTCTGAGCCGCCTCGGCCTCCCTTCCCAGCCAGTGTGCCATTGTTTACCAGTGAGCGACAGTCCCCTCATGTGTTCATACGAAATATTTCATAATATTCCATTACAAACTTTAAAAAACTCTACACCAAGGCAATGTTTGAAAGGTGCTTTAATGTGACCTCAGACACTCACTTGACCTTAAGAGATTTTTGGAAAGAATACTTCAGTATTCTCCATTGCATAAGCCTTATAGGTAAGGCTTGGGAGGGAGTGACTACCAGGACTTTGAACTCTGCTTGGAGAAAATTGTGGCCAGATTGTGTCCACAAGAGGGATTTCGAAGGGCTTGTGGCTGACCCTGATGAGCCTATGTCAGTTGTGAACTCTATTGCAGCATTGGGGAGTTCCATGGGGTTGGATGTGAGTTTGGAGGATGTGGAAGAGTTGGTGGAGGACCACAACGGAGAGCTAACCACTGAGGAGCTGCAAGAGCTTCAGCAGGAACAGCAACAGATCGCAGCTCAGAATCTTGCTGCAGAGGAGGAGGAGGAAGAGAGATGGAAGAAGGTGCCTTCTTCAGAAATTAAGGAGATTTTTGAAATGTGGGGTAGGATGGAAAGATTTATGGAGAAACATCACCCTGAGAAGGATGTTGCAAGCCATATCGGCCACTTGTACAGTGACAGTCTTGGCCCATTTTAGGGAAGTTTTAAAGAGACGCCAGAAACAGAGCTCTCTGGACAATTTTTTTTGCGAGACAGGACTCCAGTGACTCTCAAGCTGGTCCTAGTGGCATTAAGAAACAGAGAAGAGAAGTAGCCCCAGAAAAGGTGCCCGAGGTGTTCATGGAAGGGGATTTCCCTTCCAAACAGTAATCCAATGTCTCTCCTCCTCCAGTCTTCCATACACTAAGAAGAATTGCCAATAAAGGTAAGTGTTATGCTGTTAATGTTTCATTCATCATGTGCCATTGTATTATGTGCTACATCTATATTTCATGTAAAAAATTTTTTTGTTTTAATACTTCTGGGTGTCAGAAACGGATTAATTGTATTTATATTGTTTCTTATGGGGAAAATTGATTCGAAAATCGTCTATTTCGATAATAGTCCCACTTCCAGGAACGGATTATGGGCGATAATTGAGGGACCACTGTATATTTCAGATTTCTTTGCCATCTCCTCTTCATCATAAGTTTCTGTTGCTGTATCACAAGGATTAACCTGTAAACGGTCCAAATGTATATATACAATTTTTCAACATTTGAAAGTATGTAAAAAAAGTAGATCTCTTTTTTTTTTACATTTGAAAATGTGTAAAAAAACTTTGATCTACTTTTTTTTTTTGTTATATTTGAAAATATGTAAAAAAAATGTAGATATACTTTTGTAGCACTACACATGTGAAGGTAGATCTGCTTGGACCGTTTACGGGTTAATAAACTAGGAATACTTTTGCTTCATCTTAAGAAACAAAGGAAATGTATTAATCTCTCTAGAAATTGTTTTGCTTTTCTTATTGTTGTGTGACTTCACATAATGTTATGGATACTTTTGAAGGTATTTCTACTGTAGGCGCATAGTCAGGGACTCTTTTCACAGCACTTAAAAGATAGAAATACATTTGTTAACACAGGATATATACATTTTTGTACAGTATACCCTTCATATAACGGACTTTTAAAATTATGGGAAAATCCACTGAGTATAATGATAGCTTTTATAAAATGTAGTTTACATTTGTTATTATTATTATAATAGTATTATTATGCATATTAATAATTTGTGTAACAGTGCGTCTAGAAGCAATGGTGGCAGTTTCCCCGGATCATCCGAGTACAGTTCCAGTGGTGGCACTGTCACTTCACTGGGAGGGTCAACACCAGACAACTAACAACCCACAGCTCAGGGTTTGTCTCTCAGCCTCAGTAATTTACAATGTTTTTACACTAGCTCCCTCACCAACATTGTTCATGTGTTCCTGAAAAATGTTCATGTGTCGATCTGTTTGGAACTGTTCCCAATGTGCCACAGACACTACACTGATATAACCACACATGTCTTCTTGACCTATAATGTTCCTTAATTAATGTTGTTATTTTTTTTTTAACATTGAAATTGATATTGTAAAGTACTCAGACTTGTGCCTCTTTCTTCCTCTCCTTTTCTTTCCTCCCATTCCTTACCTCCTGTTCCCTTGCATTCCTTTTCTCCCTCCCATCATATCTAACACAACAGTACATTTTTTCTCCACTTCCACACTATATTTCTCTCCCTTACTGTACTAAACTAATCCCTCATATGCCTCCTCCCTACTTTATTCCACCCTCTTGACTGTACTCCAACAATACACTGTAATATGCCTTTGCATTATTCCAACCCCACAATGTACTAAGTCTCTGTACCACCCTGCACATTATACTCCCCCCACACTGTACTCCCCACAATGTGCTGTGCCACCACCCACCCACACTATCCCCCCATGATGTACTATGCATCCCATACCACTACCGCAGCGTGTTGCACCCCAACACCCTTGCACTGTACTTATCCACCACATCAAACCTCATGCCATGAATTGCATCTTTCTTCCCACAACACTCACTGATATGGTAAGATGAAGTTACTGTGTGGCTGGGTTGAATAAGTATTTCACCCAAACAATGAACATTTTTATTATCTACAGTTCTTGACCAGTCTTTAATACTTAAATGTGAGCCCAATATGAACATACACAAAATATGACTGTATTTGGTGAAGAGTAAGGATGAAACTGCAATAATATCTACACAGATTGGAAGTGAAGGTTTTTCCCAATCTTTTTATGCAAAGAACTAGAAATAGGAGGGGTGTTAATGTTGCAGTTTTATAACTGTAGTGTAAGCGCGCCTCTGGCAAGACGATGAAGAGGTGAATGATGGTGGAAAATTTTCTTTTTTGGGCCACCCTGCCTTGGTGGGAATCGGCCAGTGTGATAATAAAATAAATAAAAATAACTAGAAATACAGAATATATAGTGGGGAGTCAGGAAAAACAAAATCTGGGGATATAGCTTTGTCAAGCTGATGGGGTGTGGTCAGGCGTTCAGTGTCCCGAGGAGGAAAAGTGACTGGTGCAGTCTTCACCCTCTACATGGATACTTCTGATTGTTTAAGTCTCATGGCTGTCTCAAAGTTATTTTGTTCTCTCACCAGGGCCAAAATGGAAGCTTTCTCTTCCATACTAAGCTTACAGAGCACTGTTAGAATCATTGGTAACCAAATTAGCTTAAACTATCAAACGGTTAAGCACGAAAATCCAAAATGAGAGACAAGGCTGCAGAAACTCCGTGGCAACTGAGAATGAGTGATGGGTTGAAGTTACTGCTTTGTTATATGCAAGCTGCCCAACATACAATAAGCTTCAGCAACATAGATATTTGTTGATTTATTTAGCATTATTGGCTTGATTTATTTTTCTGGCATTGTACATGTGTTTCTAGTTCTCTTTGTGTGAGGTATATAAAGTCACCAGTGGTGAAACATGTCCTTCAGTAAGTGTGCACACATCGTTATTTCTACATTTGGTGAAAACTAGGAGGACAAATTAATGAATATAATTGAGTTTTAATAAAATCATTATAATTGAATCTATACTTATTTACCAGTTGCTGTCAAACAAACATGAACTCTCCCCACATGTAGCATGATCTTATGCAAAATATGAATGTATTTGGTGCAAAAATATTCAAGAAAAAACTTTTTTTAAATAATTTACTTGACTATTGGCAAAGATTGTAACTCCAGGTCAGTGTTTGCGAGTCATTAATTGATTCCAAAGTACCAATGTGTTACATGTGGAATATCATAAGCCAGAGATCTACTGTATTAGTCTGTAGCACCTTTCATGAGTGTTAAGTACTTTCAGATTCAGTGTTCCAATAATTGATTTTTCCTTTTCAGCATATGGAAAAAGAAGTAAATGTACATTGGGATGAGTTAGTTTCATCACGTAGTGATCGCCTTCACCTGCTCCCCTTGATCTTATACCGCCTGCGGTGTGTTTAGATGTTTATACCGAGGCTTACAGTGCTCATGCTGATGCCAGAGGTCCTGATGCTCAATTCCATAAGGAGAAAATATTTTTTAGACCTGCAAGGTAAGTTTGAAGTTCCACTTTCTGTATTATGTGGATGGATGGATATAAACTTGTTCCCAACATCTAATATCATATACAATGCACCGTATCATGATTCAATACAAACCTACTTGGAGCGGGTCATCAGCAGTAACATCTTCGTTGACTAGGCAGGCACCAGACGAGCCTGGCCCAAGGCCGGGCTCTAGTAAAAAAAAAACTCGAAATTCACCTTAAGTATAAGAACACTATAACAGCTTACAACTTGGGCTCTTTTCTTATTTTATCCATGCATGTCATAAAGACTGATAAATAGACAGGTAAATTTCACATGGGTTAAAAATTAAACACTGAAATATACACACCCTTCCTACCCAAAGACTTTTTAACACAAGAAGCATGGAGAAGAGACAGGTGTGTGTTAAGATTTGACTGTTCTCACTGTGTTATCTTGTTCAGTTAACTACTCTTCATCATATCATATGCATTAGCTTGTTCAGTTCACCACTATTTATTACACTTGCATTTGTAAATTGCAGTATAATTAATAATGAATTGACTCATGATATCGTAATGATATGATTGCAAACAAGCCATACCACGGGTGGGGATAGAACCTGCAGTCAGAGAGCCATAAAACTCCAGATGGATGCATTAATATTGTTGGTCTGGAGTTTTATGACTCTGACCACAAGTTCTATCCCCACCCGTAGTATGGTTTAATAATGAATTATGAATAATGAGGTAATTTTAATGAAAAATTTTTTTGCTTTTTTGTCTTTTCAGAGGTCCAGACCGAGCATTCCCTTTTAAGTACCATCCAAAACTGGGGGTCTTCTCTCAGCGTTAATGGAAGTTCTGTCTTTTTTATACATATAAATATTGCTTTATTAATAAAAATGTATGTTTTTTTTTTTATTTCTGTAATAAATATAGTTTAAAATTATTTTTGTATCACTAACCAGAGAGGCTACTTAACTGATGGCCTGAACACATCGAGGGACTGATTACCTCGAACTCATCTTCCACCTTTCTCTGCACTGAACTGATAAAGCCACTAGCTGATGAAACACTTCACGAATAAAGATACTCAAATGTTGTTGTCTTAAGCATTAAATTTACAGCATGCTTTCTTTGGGTGGGAGATGGCCATTGCAGTAATTTAAAAAATAATTTGTATACATTAGGACCCCCATATATGCAGGGGAAAAGCTCCTAAGGATCTGCCATGGATACTAAAACCATTGGATAGGAGCAAGTCCTATATATACCTATTAAAAAGTTTAACTGATAAATTATGCACAATAAGTGGAGAATTATCACCTTATCATTGATGGGAAGAATTTCATGGCTTCTCTTAGTCTTTGGAAGAACTACCAGCTTTTCTAGTATTGTACATTGGGGCCATTGTTATGCAAAATTAAGAGGTATTTTTGGTCCACAGTAAACCATGGATAACTGAAATTGACGATACCAAATCAGTTGATACAGGGGTTCTACTGTATGGTAATAATGTGAGAGACAGGTAGCATGAGAGTAATTATTATTATTATACAATATGTCACCTTAATTAGGGATGTATAGAGTCTAGGGTAAATGTGGAGAAAAATTTCTCCAGAAAGGGAATTTCAGCCCCTCAGCCCCTTTCAATCCCCTTGAAGGACTCGGCCCAACAGAGGGGCTGATAGCTTCTCTTGTTTCCGCATAAACAGTTTAATGAAATCCACATGCAGCGTGTACCAGTCATAAGTCACACCACCTCGTGTTGCACCAAGTGTTCATGTAATGAGAGTGACAGTGAAATGAGAAAAATAACTCTTCACTTAGCAGGAAAATTGCTGGAAAATCTTGCATCACTTTACTTACAATGTGAAACAATAATGAACTGTCGTCGATAGATACCAGGAAATCTATCATTTGTAATGAATACTGTGATGGTGTTTAGCAAGGAAGAGAAATAACGCTGAATTCAGCAAATCCTTTGTAGAGACACCCAAAGTGCACTGGAGGGCTCAGATTGACTTCAGGAGAAGAAGGGGAAGAGTGTGTTGCATGAGCATTGCCCTAAACAAATGAACAATAGTGTTCAACATTTGACTCTTGTACAATCTCAAAATTTGCGGTAGAACTACTACAGTGAAGTGTATCTTCCTGTTGCGAAATTACCACAAAAGGACAAATCTTGGTTGTAGTGTAATGTAACAGATTGTGTTGTGGACAGTTGGTTGATTAAAGGACAGTGCAACATACGAGAGATACTGCTGCTCCAGTAAAGTCACCAATACCTGTCTTATGTGGTGCTATCAGCACCACCACTCGTGTTATGAAGAGCAAGGTAGGTAGGTCTTGATCTCTTGTTAAACATAGAAGCTGCAGTTTCGCGTGGACACAAGGTGATTGAGACCGTCCTATAGATGGCAGTGAGGTGTGGGCTTTTGAGCCCAAACAAGTATCACCTCATTCAGCATTAAGTTACCAGTGAAATGCTGAACTATACTCTCCTTTGGGGCAACTTCTTAATCCTCCTTTATCCCTCATCAGCTCAGGGATGGAGTATAGATGGCTCCATGAAGGAACGACCCGAGGGTAGCTGCAGGAAGTTGAGCCATCACTGAAGCTAAGCATCTTTCATTCATGTATTTATAGATACATAACTTGGCTTATGCTCCAGAGTCCTTACAGTAAATGTGTAGTAACATTCCTCAGACACGTGTAGTATTGGTCATATTTCTAATTTCCATTTTGTAATCTTTAATGACATGGAAATAATAAGAGAAATATAGTGATGTTAGGATTAGTTTTCAGCTTGATTAATGGATACATTGGAAGGTGTTTTCTTTAGTGAATCCATGCAGAATGACCCTTATGGGTTTCATGCTTTGTGTATACTAGATATATAGGCAACAGTTAGGCAAATTTATTCCGAAACATTTCGCCTACACAGTAGGCTTCTTCAGTCAAATACAGGTGAAACGTTTTGGAATAAAGTTGCCTAACGGTTGCCTATGTGTCTTACCTACCAACCTGTCGGTATTGTATACCATTTTGATATTCATACTAGATATATATACGTATTTTCTTTCAACAAACCAGCCATATCCCACCGAGGCAGGGTGGCCCAGAAAGAAAAACAGAAGTTTTTCTTTTTAAATTTAGTAATGGATACAGGAGAAGGGGTTACTAGCCCCTTGCTCCTAGCATTTTAATCACCTCTTATGACACACATGGCTTATGGAGGAAGAATTCTGTTCCACTTCCCCATGGAGAATACATGATATATATATTTTTTTTTTTTCAACAAGTCGGTCGTCTCCCACCGAGGCAGGGTGACCCAAAGAGAAAGAAAATCCCCAAAAAGAAAATACTTTCATCATTCAACACTTTCACCTCACTCACACATAATCACTGTTTTTGCAGAGGTGCCCAGAATACAACAGCTTAGAAGTATATGCGTATAAAAATACACAATGTATCTCTCCAAACTGCCAATATCAATATCAAACTGCCAATACATAAATATTAATATATATATATATATATTTATATTATATATATATTTATATAAATTATATATATATTATATATATATTTATATATATATCTACAGTGGGAAACCTCAAAAATCGAAATTTTCTTCGGGCCAGAAGTCTGTTCGAGTGCCTTTACCGAATGAATTTATTCCCATCAGGAATAATGTAAATTAGATTAGTCCATTTCAGACCCTTAAAAATACACTTATAAAAGTACTTACAAAAATACACTTACATAATTGGTTAAGTACTTTTATAAGTGTATTTTTAAGGGTCTGAAATGGACTAATCTAATTTACATTATTCCTGATGGGAATAAATTCATTCAGTAAAGGCACTCGAACAGACTTCTGGACCGAAGAAAGTTCGATTTTTGAGGTTCCACTGTATATATATATATGTACATGTATATCATTTACCAAACTGCGACAGGCCAGGATTTGACCCTACAAACCTTGTACCGCCTCCAGAGACAGCACAATGTACGCATCACCTTACCACTATGCCACTGATCCTACAAGAACCAAGAACACAGCACGTAGCTATGTGTTTGCCTTGGTCCGAGGACACTCGTGGCAGTGGTATCTCAAGGATTAATTTCGGCCTCATCAGCCTATAGACTGCTTGTTGAGGTGGATATTCAAACGGGATGAGGCTGAAATTAATCCTTGAGATACCACTGCCACGAGTGTCCTCGAACCAAGGCAAACACATAGCTACGTGCTGTGTGCTTGGTTCTTGTAGGATCAATGGCATAGTGGTAAGGTGATGCGTTCATTGTGCTGTCTCTGGAGGCAGCACGAGGTTCGTAGGGTTGAGTCCTGGCCTGCTGCAGTTTGGTAAATGATTTAAAATCACTTGTTTCGTGATTTCATTGATATATACACCTACCATCCGACTTACGACCGAGTTCGGTTCCGAGAAACCGGTCGTAAGTCGAACTTTACTACTGAATATCAACAAAACATTTTTGTAATGACTTTATTTTATTGTTTTATTTTGGTATTTCATGTTTTACTTTACTTCTAATGTTGTTAGTACTGTATTTTATACTGTAAGGTTTAGGATAAACACTGTGTACAACACAAATAGTTGTTTATATCCCAGAAATTTGGCATAAAAAACACGGTCATAAGTCGAGTGGTCGTAAGTCGGATGGTAGGTGTATATGTATATATCTATTTATTTAACACGTTGGCTATTTCCCACCGAGGCGGGGTGACCCCAAAAAGAAAGAAAAACCCAAAATGAAAGAAAAAACTTTCTTTCATCATTCAACACTTTCACCATCATTCATACATAATCACTGTCTTTGCAGAGGCGCTCACATACGACAGTATTAGATGTCACTCCAAACAGTCAATATCTCAAACCCTTCCTTTAAAGTGCAGGCATTGTACTTCCCACTTCTAGGACTCAAGTCCAGCTAACTGGTTTCCCTGAAGATCTTCACAAAACATTATCCTGCGCACACTCCAACAGCTCATCAGGTCCCAAAAGCCATTCGTCTCCACTCCTATCTAACACACTCACGCACGCTTGTTGGAAGTCCAAACCCCTCGCCCAAAAAACATTCCTTACCTCCTCCCTCCAAACTTTCCTAGGACTACCCCTACCCTCCCTTCCCCTACAGATTTATATGCTCTCCAAGCCATTATAATTTGTTCCATTCTCTCTAAATTACATCAACAACCCCTCTTTAGTCCTCTAATACTTTTCGTAACTCCACACCTCCTCCTAATTTCCACACTACGAATTCTCTGCATAATATTTACACCACACATTGCCCTTAAACACGACATCTCCATGGCCTCCAGCCTCCTTGCTGCAGCATTTACAACCCATGCTTCACACTCATATAAGAGTGTTGGTACCACTATACTCTTGTACATTCCCTTCTTTGTCTCCGTAATTAATGTTTTTTGTCTCCATAGATAACTCAAAGCACCACTCTCCGTTTTTTCTTCACTTCTATGGTTAACCTCATCCTTCATAAACACATCTGCCAACAAGTCTACTCCCAAATATCTGAACACAAAATTATATAATTATATAAATTATGTAACAAACATGCTACATAATATATAAACATGAAAAATACACCCACACTAGAATAAATTAATGTAAATATGAGATTTTTTTAGTCGACTTGCCGGAGTGAACTAAAACCATAGGCATTCGGCTGGTTTGGTTACATAACTCCGCGTCTGTCCTCTCTTGTATACTCATTCTCTATCTCTCTCTCTCTCTCAATTCGTTTTATCTCATATACTCACCTCTCACCCTACATTAAAATTACAAATATTTGAAAGTAAGTAATGAGTGTACCGTATATGCATTTTATCGCTCTAAGGCGCTTTAGATGCCTAGTATATAATGCGTGCTGGAAGGGTGGCCAGATGGGCTATGATACCTA